AAAACATAACAACAAGTATAATTTTTGTATTAGAAAATGTATTCTTCAATCCATATGCAAAATAAATACATTAATCTCGATAAACTTCCATATCATATTCACATAAAATTTAATAAAATATCCAGTCATCACTTATAGTTCAAGTGCATCACATTCTATGATAATGCTTATATCAACTTGAATAAAACTCCACATCATTAATTATGATCCAATTATCTCATCACTCTTATACATATCAATAACATGTTCAATTCCTTTCAGTTTCAACTCAAAAATTTCTTATACAATGTGATCACATTCCATAGTTGCCTTCAACATTTCATGAGGTCTTACACAATAGGTGAATAGTTGTCGGTTAATCCATGCATACGGATACAACGTATACACTTATAGAGCCCCTTAGAAAAAGTACAGTCAGAAGTGTCAGACAAGAAATGCGTGTGTGGCCATTTGATGCATTCGCAACTTTATAAATCGTGCACATTTAGCGAATGTCATCCATCACCTACGTTTTCCCCAAACTTCCATAGTCGACTCCCTATTCTATACTCCTAATGTATTGTTGTGACTATTCACACTAATTCCTTTCTTATCACTTCATATATTATTCATAGATCAGCATGTTATAATACACGTCCTATAACCATATAATTCAATGTATTACGATACATATATTGTGAACACACCCGTCGATATATCACAATACCTGTATTACAGTCATATCAATTTATTAGCCACAATTCTTGCATTGTGAACACACATCTCATCAAAATTTCATATTTTTTAAATTCAATTCCATTCAAATATTTTCACAACAGGACATATACTCGACTTCCAATCAAATTTACAACCATACCATCATACAATTTGCACATATAATTCCTCTACCAACTAAACAACTTTGCTAAAGATCGAATACCTATGGACTCAACCCAAATCGAGTAATACAATCAATTATATTTCATAATATCTCAAATTAATCAGTTATCATCAATTGAACCTCTTAAGGTCAGAGAAATATACTTCATCCACCTATCATAATATTTAAAATTTTTATCTATATTCACAATAGAACCAAACACTACTAATGAACCGGAGCTAGTGACTATGTTTTTTAATGATGATGATTAAAGAGGTCAAGTCCGTAAGAGATTTGATTCATTTTTTTATTTGAAACTTTTTTTTGTAAAGAGTCAAAGTTTTTACATTATGAAATAATGTCTCTTAGTATTTTTTTTTTATTAGGATATCATATGAAAATTGTAAAGTCTAATAACTTTGTCTTAAGAAGATGAACAAACAAATCTTATATATATATATATATTGATGTCCTATATTTTGGACATCAACTATATCTCAATGTTTATGTCATATCGTGTTTAGTGTCTGTGTTGAAGCTAGTACTTAATAGCCTACGTCACAATGATTTTTATTTCATGGGTTTTTACTTTTTCTCCCATTTAAAACTAGATTTTTAAAAAAAAAAAAAATTCATTTATGTTTTAACCCATTGATTTTGCATCAATTTGTAGGTTTGCTAGTCCTAGTAAAAAATCAATGGGTTAAAACATAAATGAATTTTTTTTTTGAAAGATCTAGTTTTAAATTGTAGGTTTGCTAGTTCTAGTAAAAAATCACCTACTCTACCCTATTTATATTAAGTTTTTATCACTTTTGACCTAGCATGCGGCTTAGACGGGTTATATGACCGACTAAATCAACCGATTTAAATTGATTTTTGGAACAAATATTGTTATTAAATAGATAAATTCTATAAAATTTTATTAAAAAATAAAATTAAAAACTACTTTCTCATTATTTTATTAAAACATAATATATTTTAAAAATATTAAATATATATTTAATTTTAAATTATTTATTTATAAAAATTTAAATTATATATAATTTAATATAAATAATTACAAAAAATATATAAGATGATTTCATAAATATATTGAATTATTTTTTTATAAAAATTTATTACGTTGCGTTAATGTTTATTTGCCTTTCATTAACTGGTTGAATCATTGAAGCGATCAAGAAGTAATTAGAATGAATAAAATAGATCATATGGAATGTGCAGTAAAATTTAGTTAGGACTGTCTATGACGAATTGCAAATGTGTAATAGAAAATTTAAAATATTTAATAGAATATATGTAGTGATATTTTTACACTACATATGCTTATAAATATAAAGAATTTCAATATACTTTAACGTGATTAATTGTTATTATATTATTATTATTTAATTATAAAAAATAATACGAGACAAATAGTTACAATTAATAATATCGTTAATCTTAGCCAATTTTTTGTCTACCTTATTTTTAAATTAACTATTCTACTAATATAATGAATTCTTAGTCAATTCGTGTATAACTATTTGTGCTGTGTAGCACTGCATCATTGCAAAAGTTAAGTTTTCTAAATAATAATTGTAAGTCTACTTTAAAAAATAAAATTAAGCAATATATAAAGGCTTTAAATGCATTCACATTCGTGTAATAGATTTATTTAATAAAAAAAATATTTAAATTATAATCATATACAAAGTTCTCTCACGTCAGCGACAATCACAAATCATAAAAATTGATTAGTTTTAAGAATTTTTAAACCTAAGAACACTGTGTGGTCTCTGGCTTTAAAAAACAATTAAGCAATATATGATTAAATGGTAATACCATGATTCACTTAAGAATGGTGTTTAGTAACCGACAAAAGAAAATTAGTATAAATATTTTAGCGTTAATGTTGACAATCATTATAATATTTATTATATTGACATCATACATTAATTGTCTGTAGTAATAAAGTTATCTATTAGTATTAGTAAGATGTATTATATTACTGTATAGATTGTCATTATTTTCATACTAATTAATCTAATACTAATAAAGGGAATGCATTTAGGGAAAAGGTTATTGTTATATGAGGCTGCAACGAATAAATTTTGACTATATAATTATATATAAATTACAAAAATTAAAGTCATGTAATGTTGCCTAACTAGTTAGAAATTTTACACAATCTTTTAAAATATTTATATAATTTTAAAATTTTAATCTTATTATTCATAATAAAAGAATATAATTAGAGAAATTTTCTTATCGTATTTTATTTTTAACATTTATTAATTAACATGATCCGATAAATGTATTTTATAGGTTTATTCAATGTACCTTATTTTTTTATGATATCGTTCCAAAATTATGGTTTTCGAGGAGGAGTTTTCACAGACATTGACAGGAGAAAAATACAAAGTTTCACAATAATATAAGTCAATCGCTTTATTTTTAATAATATATTAATTAATCCATGAAACCCTTTATTCATTTTATAATATTTTGATGATTAATTCTATTAAATTTTACAATATTTACTATATTAATCAAAATTTAATATTTATCTACATTTAAAAAATATATCATATATTCAAAATAAAGTATTATGATAAAATATTTATTAATTTAATTTTCATATAAAATTGTTTTGCTTAATAGAAATATTTAAACTAATTAAATCAGTTAATTTTACATTTTATAAAATTATTAAGTAGTATAAGTGTCTAAATTTTACATTGAATGCCAATAAATCTTGAATTTCTTGTTTTTATTATTATTTTTACTCATATTTTATGAATTTTTAAAAGGAATTATTTAAAAATATATTTTTAATACCTTTTATAAAAAATATTATATGTACATTATTTTAATAAAAAATATTTTAAGAAAATTTAAATAAAATAATCATAATTTAACATTATATATAAATAAAAATATTTTTATTGTTATTATATATATTTTATTAAAATGTCAACAAGTTAAATAAGAATATATTTTTAAAAATTATATTAAATGTAACAAAAATGATTTTATTACTTAAATATGATTTTATCTTATTGAATATTAATTTTTTTTATCTAAAATATTAAATGAAAAAACGTAGATTATTTATTGTGTCATCTTGATAAACATCAAACACGGTTGCGGTCTTCTTAGTTTTGTAATATTGTCTTCATTTTCTTGGAATTTAGAGTTGTCAATTCAAGTGATTGTGTGAATTGCCATAATCGTGAAATATGGGTGCATGTGGGGTTCTCTTTTGGGTCTTATCTTTTTCTAACGAGGCCAATTAATGTGAAGTTGTGAAAATGGAAGAGTCCTTGGAATACATATCAACTTTCTGTAGACTTTCTTTGCTCCAGATGCTTGTGGTTCTTATCTTTTGTGGTGTGTCACGCCGGGACATTTATTATCGTAAAGGGTCTCTATTCTTTGCTACTACTTGATTGGCTGCTAGAGTTTCAAAGAAAATGCACTACTTAACCATAAGAGTAAGTTACTTTAATCTTTAAAATTTTAAAAACATCACCTTATCTTTCTTTTAATACTTTCAACTTCGTTTCCTTCACTTTTTTACTTAGACTTAGAGATTGTTTAAACTCAACTTTTCTATTTTATTAGAGTTTAAAATTGACATACTTAATCTTAATCGGTAACTATATTATTTTAGAAGAAGCTTAAAAAAATACTAATAGAGAATGTAAATATCAAAAGTGACTGTCAATAACGGTCCAACAATGATAAAAATAAAGAAGAAGGATAATAAAGATAAAATTTTAAATATTAGATATTAAAATACCTTATGAATGATAATTTTAAGAATTAAAATATAAGTCAAGGACAATGTCAGAAATTAGAATGAAAGTTATTTTTATCCTATAATTAATTATATATCTTCGACATTCAATTAACGTGTTTTTTACAATAAATAACTCTAAGAACTAAAATAATATATAAAGATAAAAATTAAGAATTAACATAATATTTTTAAATTTTTAAAAACTAAACTATCTTACATTTATTATTTATTATCTTAGAAACCAAAATGATGATTTAATCATTATTTGTTTATTTGCATTGCTTTCCACTCCCACATACACCCTTTAGTTTGGCATTATATAACAGACTTCCCTTGCATGTTCATGGCTTTGACCCTTCAGTACTTAAAAGGCCCCCACAATTGATTCACTTGCAATCAACCAATGCCTGTATCTCTTAGCATTGCTTTATTCTTCCAGTCTATTATGGCTTCAGCAACTTTTGTTGGCTTCCTCCTATTTCTCACTCTCCTACACCAAGTTCCCTCCAAGGCTTTGGTATTTGAAGGATTCAGTGATAACAATGAACTCATTCTTGAAGGATCTTCCATCATTAAAACCAGTCGTTTACTCAAGCTCACCAACAGCTCAACCAATATTATAGGCCATGCATTCTATTCCATACCCTTCCAAATGCTTGATAAAACAAATCATTCACTCCAACCAAATGCCCATTCCTTTAGTACCTCTTTTGTTTTCTCAATTGTGTCGCCTATTTCTGGCTCTGGTGGCTTTGGCCTTGCCTTCACCATAGCACCCTCAACAAAATTTCCTAGAGCTGAGGCTAGCCATTTTCTTGGTCTTGTTAACTCCACCAATGATGGCAATGCCTCAAATCACATCTTTGCAGTTGAATTTGACACAGTAAATGGTTATAAAGGTGATTCTGACTCTGAAGGAAACCATATTGGTGTAAATGTAAACGGCATGAACTCAAAAATTACTGAACCAGCTGCATATATTGAAGAAGGAACAGATAATGTAAAGGATGATTTTAGAATGGCCAAGGTTGATGCTGTCCAAGCTTGGATAGAATATGACGGTAAAAAGAGAGCTCTGAATGTAACAGTAGCTCCTTTACCGTTACCAAGACCAAGCAAACCACTTATACACAATCATCACATTGAACTTGACACTGTTATGGAGGAAAACATGTATGTTGGTTTCTCAGCATCAACGGGCAAGGAAATAAGCTCTCATTATCTCTTGGGATGGAGCTTTGTAGTGAATGGAATTGCCCCTTCACTAAATATTTCTAACCTTCCAAAGCCACCACCAAAGGAGAAAGATCCATCCTCATTTCCTTGGTTCAAGCTTGCAATTGGAATCTTGTCTGTTTTGACCTTGACCTTGTTGTGTCTTCTATTTTTGCAAACATATTATAGGAGACACGTGAATTTTGAGGCTCTTGAGGACTGGGAGATGGATTGTCCTCACAGGTTTAGATACAAAGATCTTCACATAGCAGCAAAGGGGTTCATAGAGAGCCAGCTGATTGGAGTTGGAGGCTTTGGTGCTGTGTATAAAGGTGTCTTACCTACCACAAAAGTTGAGGTTGCTATTAAGAGGATTGTGCGTAGCCCTTTTCATGGTATGAGGGAATTTTCTGCTGAGATTGAAAGCTTAGGAAAGTTGAGGCACAAGAATTTGGTGAACCTTCAAGGGTGGTGCAAGAAAAAGAATGATCTACTCCTAGTTTATGATTTCATTCCAAATGGGAGTCTTGATTCAGTCTTATACAATCCTAATGCCAATTTTGCTTTGAATTGGGACCAAAGATTCAACATTCTCAAAGGAATCAGTGCTGGGCTATTGTATCTGCATGAAGAGTGGGAGCAAGTGGTGATCCACAGGGATGTGAAAACTAGTAATATTCTAATAGATGGACACATGAATGCTCGTTTAGGTGACTTTGGACTTGCAAGGCTTTATAATCATGGTCAAGTATCACACACAACCAAAGTGGTTGGCACTGTTGGGTATATTGCACCAGAGTTAACACGCACAGGAAAGGCATCTACAAGAACTGATGTGTATGCATATGGGGTTGTGCTCCTTGAAGTGGCCACAGGTAAGAGACCTATTGAATCAGATCAATTTTTCTTGCTGGATTGGGTTATTGAAAATTACCATCTGGGTCAAATTCTAGAGGTAGTTGATCCTAGGCTGAATTCAGTTTATGATGAGGAAGAAGCTGAATTGGTTCTGAAGTTGGGTCTCCTATGTACCCATCATAGAGCAGATTATAGGCCTACCATGAAACAAGTTACAAGGTACCTTAACTTTGATGACCTTCTTCCTGACATTGCTGATTGGAGACACACTGTTTCTGATAGAAGCAGCGAGAGCTTAGGTTTCTTAGAAGCCACGTCTATGATAAATGTTGCAACATCAGAGTATTTATCCTCCATTAGCATGAGTACAAAGTCCATTGATTCTGGTAGATAGCAAATAATCAAATTATATTCCATTTTCTACGTCCATGTATCTCTCTAAATATATATTATGCATAGTTCTTGCCTAATTCTTTTATTTGTTAACAATAACCAGCGTTTTCTTTTGATACAAGATTTGGTTTCGGGAAATAAGATGTATTCTTTAACGAATTATATTATTAGCGGTAGAAATAAACCAGCTCAGGTTTTTATCTTAAACGGATAAGAAAACATTATGCAGGAGGAACCACCGAGTTAAATCAATTGTCATCAATTCCATTATATTACGAGTGCGATTAATTGTAAATTGTCGTTGTTCTTATATTAGTTGATCTCAAATATTCAAATGCAAGAAGAGCTTTTCGTCACGTGTGATTGGATGAGATGAAAAAAAGAAAATATGAATAAATCAAGTATGATGGAAAGTCTCCCTTTTAGATGGAAATGAAGAAATTAGGCAACCTACAGTGATAAAGACTCAATTCAATATTCTTAAAGTTTTTGAATTTGATATGATGCCCAAGTATGTTTGCATCGTTGCTTGTGATCTATGATGGAGATCTCTTTAATGTCGAAAGTCTAGATTAATTGACATACTTAAAACTCACTCTGGCCCACGATGCATTGGGAAAGTGTTTAAGCCCTCTTGCAAGCTTTAACAATCTTTATGAATATTTTTGTCATGCTTTAGTCCTAGTCATTTTGGTCTTTAGTGTTTAATAATACTGTAGCAGTAGTGATTAAAATGTAATAAAAATATTAGTATATAAATTAAAATGTAAAACTTTTAAGTGTATGAATTAATTCATAAACGTGTAACAATTATAATAACTAAACATATAGTTTAACTTTAATTTTAAGAAAATTTAAAATATACATTATGTAGATAACAAAAGATCCAAAATTAATATAAAAAAAAGATCCAAAATTATTGGAAACAAAAAGTTCAATAAGAACATAGATTATATATATTAATCGTGAATTATTAAAAGACTAGAAACTCATATATTTTAATTAAAATAATTATTTATCATCTAAAATCGTACATTTTGGTATATATACAATTTATTAATTTAGTTAATAGATAAATAAATAAATAAGTTATAACTATAGTTAATAAAATACTAAAAGTAGTTCATATATCACAAAAAAAATATCATTATGGTTGAAATTTCCTTATATATTTCTTCTTTAAAACCTAAGGTAATATATAAAGGTAGAGCAACTATAATATATAATGTTGATAAAAAATATATATATTGATACAAGAAAAAGGTAGAGCAACTATAATTTAATTCCCTTATATATAAAAAAAAAATATCATTACACGTAAGATAATGTTGATACATATTAAATTTGATGATTTATAATATATAAAAGTAAAATAACTATATATTAGTATCGTAAATTATTACAGTAATTAAGTGAAGTAATTTTAATTTTATTAATAAATAAATTATTTTTATAATTAAAAAAAAGAACTATTTCTGAAAATATGTTTTGATAAATAAATGAAATAATTGTTTATTTAGATAAAAAATAATTTTAACTTAATTGATGACTTAATAAATTAATTGTTTGATAATTTAAAGAAGAAATATATAAGGGAATAAACTTACCTTGATATTCCTGTTAGCTATCATAAATCCAAAAGATAAGATTTTTTTTATATTATTGACAAAATTAGAAAGAAATTAGCCTCTTGAAAAATAAAGTCTTTATCCATGGTTGGTAAGGTTTCTCTAACCCAATCTTGTCTCGAGTGTCCTTTCATACACAATGCAATCCTTGCTCCTCCCTATGTCAGTATATGATGAAATCACCAAGCTTGCTCCTCCCTATGTCAGTATATGATGAAATCAACAAGCTCCATAATTGGATTAATAACAATCTCTCCAACAAATACCCTAATAAATTTCCTGATTGGAACAGGTTGTTTGGCTTTGTGATTTGGTATCTTTGGAAAGATAGAAATATTTTCATATTTCAGAACTCCTCTATTCTACCCTTTAGCTAGTTCAAAAAATAATTTGGGACTTTAATTACTTTATTTTTAAAAAAAAGGCTAATTATGTTTCTGGTTTTGTGTGAAATAGATTCCTCCAAGCTTTGGTCACCTCAAACTCAATAATGTAGATAGATCAACCCCCTTGCATATGAACTCTATTGGATATGGAGGCCTCATTAGAGATGATAAGGGAAACTTTATTGTTGGATTCCATGGTAGCATCCCTCCTTTTACTCCTCTGGGTAGCTGAGTTATGGGCTCTATTTTGGAGTCTCAAGTTGGTTCTCCTTAAGCATATTCAGTGCATATGGATTGAAAGGGACTCTAAGCAAGCTTTGGATCTTATTCTAAATGTTCAACCATATTCTCATTCCTTGGCCTGTCTTTTATCTAACATTAGATCTTTACTAAGTCAAATCAAACTTGTTAGGTTTAGTCATATTTATAGAGAATCCAATCAATATATTGATTGGCTTGCAAAACTTGGGGTATAAGAGATGTGCTCCATTATTTGTTTGGACAATCCTCTTTAATCTTTGTTCTTGTTCCTTTGTCTTGATGCCTCCAGTATTTGGACTAGTAGGACACAGTTGTGCCTGTTCTACAAGCGTTTAGCTCCTTCTTTTAGCCAAAAAAAAAAGAAGTAAGTATTTAGTATTTTAAAAATAAAATATAATTATTTTTAATAATAATTATATATCTTTTAAGACTTAAGATAGTTTAGGTACACATAGATTAATTTATTAGATAATTTTACAATAAAAAAATTAATCAATCATAAAATAAAATAAAAAATAATAAAATATTAATTTAAATTAAATTATATTAATCTTATACAATAATAAAAATAATAAAAATATTAATATTAATAAATAAATAAATAAAATGACAATAAATTAACATGAATATGATAAGAGAGATGATTATTTTTTTTAATGTTTCTTTTACTCACATCATCGTTACCATTATTATTATTATTTAGAAAGACATAAAAAATTTAAAAAAATTAATTTAACTTAAAGAACTAAATATTAAAACTAAAAACTAAATAAATTCTAATATACATAAAGTAAACATATTATTTAATTTCTTCAAATGTATAATAATAATAATAAAAAAAAATAAAAGAAAATTTTTAACATAAGACTTTAATTTAGAGAGCTTATTTACCTTTTATGTCATATCTTCATCGTCATTTTTAATATAATTACTATTATAAAATTTACTAGAAAAAATAAAAAAAATATTAATAAATAAATGATGTTTTGTCTATTTATAATTATTATGATTTTTTTAATTAATATTATTAAATTAAATAATTAAAAATATAAATATTCAAACAAGTTAAAAAGTATAGTTTAATATATTTTTATTTTACTACAGCAATATAAAATCAAGACAAAAGCCATATATATGTATATTTGCACGCAATAGAAGAAATAAAATGAAAAGGAGCACGTGAAACTCAACGATGCAGACTACAATCAAATCAGCCAAAGTCAATCAAAATATTACCATTCATCGATTAGTTTTATCAATCAAGCAGTTCACAAATTTGGAGAAACTTCATTTAAACAAGTTAAGTTAAACAAGTTAAGTTGTAAATCAAATGTGAATTCAACTTTGAAGTAGCAACTAAGAGATACAGGAGAAGGAGGTCATACCTATGTGCTTCAGAACTCTCCTTTTAGTCTTGTTCTTATTTTATTTTTTCTCTCAATTCCACCCTTGATTTACTCTCTAAAAGTTTTATTTTCTATTCTTCCTCTCCTAATTTCTACTTCTCCTTTCTTTGTGCTTCTTCTCTCATATTTTTTTTTATTTTCTTTTTCTTTCTTTTTCATCTAATTTTAATTTGATCCATTCCATTTTTATTTGATCCCCTTTATTGGATCTTTTGACAAGCGTATCAAATAAGTGTATAATAAGTGATAAATTAAGTTGTTGTATTCTACATATATTGATAAATATTAATGTAATAACTATTATCTTAACCATACACTTAACAATAAATATTGATAATTGTAAATATTTTTCATGAGTTAAATCTTATAAAATTAAAGTTCATGAGCATGAACAAGATATAAGAAGAGGAATGTTAAAATGCAATAATTAAAAATTGATATTGAACTTTATTAATAATCTTTTTTTGTATTATGACTTAATATAGAAAAATTTCTCCTACAAAAATTGATGCATACATATTTTTTCTTATAACGATTTTTCACGTATAAGTTTCTAAAAATATTCTTAAAATAAAAATTTATTAATTTTTCAACGCATCTTCTAACATTAAAAATAAGTTGTCAAAGGGTAATTAATATATTAAGATATATTTTTAGTATCACAATATAATAAATAAATTTCACTTAATTTGTAACTAAAATTTACTTTCAAGCTTATCCTTAGATCTTAAATAAAGATGCTATCGATTAAAATTGAATCAAACATTAGAAATAGAATAAAACTATCAATATATATAGAAATAGAAAACTATATATAAATTATCAAAATATATTTAAGTTAGAAAATTATTTCCAATCTTAAAGAAAGTTAATTTCTTCGTTTGAAGTCAAATTTATTTTATTCCAAATTTACAAAGATTAACTTATATTTTATTAAAAGTAATTTGTCACAATTTTTTTAGTAAAATAAGATAAATTAATACCACTCTTTTTTAAATAAAAATAATAGTTAAATAAAAAAATAGTATTCATAAATTATACACTTTTATCTTCTTTAAACTTCAATTTCATATTTTGATTTCACTTAACATAAACTATAATATGAAAAAAAATAAAAAAATAGCAACGTAAACCACTTTTAGTGTCAAATCACACATTAGCATCTTGCTAAACTAAAAACAAAATATAACAAAAATACTAGGAAAAAAGAAAGATTTATCGCAATTAAGAAAACCAAATCAAGGAAGGTGAAATTACATTGTCACAAAGAAAAAAACACATTCTAGATCATGCACAAGAGAGAACAATAAATCTTTGATTACTTATATAAACTACTGCGTCAGAATAGAAATCTTATGATTGTAAAACTTTAGGAAAACAACTTTC